AGCGGGGCAGGTGGGAGCGGGACTGGCTGGGCCGGCAGCTGCCGCGTTAGCTGATCCGCCGGGCACCTCCGACCATTCCTTCAGAGTCTTCCAGGGGTCGGATTGATAATGAAGGGATTAATTTAATTCCCCCCGCCTTTACCCCAGGCTTCTCATGCAGCTGGTCTCTGCCTGTTCATCTGTTAGTGTTTTTATTGGCATCGTTCGGTCTCTGGCTAGTGTTGGGGCTCATATGATCCCTGTTCCCGGCTGTGCCGGGCGTCTCCGTGCAGGGCTGGTGTCTGGGCTCCCGGGGCGCCTCGGAGCGGGGCTGCTGCCCGGCCTGCAGCCTTGCTGCTCTGGGATGGGGAGGAAAACCAGAGATCCTGGAAAACAAAAACAGCAGCTGGCGAACGCGGGTCCTGCGGGTTCCCCCTCGCGCCCCGGCGGGGCTGGAAGCTCCCGAATCTCGGCAGGGCGGTGGAGCAGCCGGGCCCGCTCCGTCCTGCCTGCAGCGCCCGGGCCCTCGGGAAGCGCTCCGGGACGGAGCGGGGCCGCGCAGCAGCGCTGCGAGCTGCAGCTCCCCTCCCTCCAAGGAGCTCTTGGCTGTGGGTGGCTGCGTTTGCCTTTTAATCGCTCCCAAACCTGCTTCAGATTAAAGCAAACGCTGCTGCCTATCAGTTTGTCAGTCACTCTAAACCTAATCTCTAAAAATAATCTCTTACCAAGCCCCTCTCCCCCCGCCGCCCCCGGCTGGGCAGTAATTGTTTCAAGACATGTCAGCCTCTGCTTAAAGTTTCTGTCAGGCTTTCTTGAGATTTGTGGAGAAAATCCAGGCTGGGCTGTTCCTCCGAGGGCAAGAAAAGAGGTCCTGGAAAAACATCCCCTGGAGGGAGCTGGAGCCAGGGCGAGGAGAGGAGGGGAAGGCGCCGGGGTCCTCCCTTCCCGCCGGGATGAGGCGAGCGGAGCACCGGCTGCACCGGGATCCCTGCCCAGAGCGAATCCAGGCACAGCGAGAGGGCCCCCTGGTTCCTCCTTTACAAGCAGGAAGGTGCCTCGCGCCAGTCCTGGAAAATTAGCCCTTCCCATGGTTTTGGTGCACACTGCTTCAATAGGAGTCTCCTCTTGGCTCCCTTCTCTTTGTTTCTTAGGGTAATGCTGGGGATGCGACAGCCAGGACGCCCTTGCTGGGCCCTGCGTGGCTCGGGGCCGCCTGTCCATGGGAACAGCAGTGAATTCCAGCTCCTCCTAAAGCCTCTGGGCTCTCCTGGCTTTGCCAACCGCCTGGAGTCACCACCCCAGGGGAGGATCACCCGAAATTGCAGGGGAAATGGCTCCAACTCGCCCCAAGCCCCGAGCACAGCGCAGGGAGGATGCACCAGGAGCAGGGCACGTGCGAGGCCTGGGCTCCATCGTGGAGCAGGACGGGGAAAGGAGGGCTGGCTCCATCCCCCGTGGGGGAAGGAATGCTGGAAGGTGGAACGTGGGGAGATGGGGTTTGGCTGTCCACATCTTTAAGGACAATTATCCTGGAAGCACGTAGGGTTCTGCTGCGAGCCTGCACCTCGCGTCCTAATTAACAGGAGCAAACAGAGAGGCTGCGCGGGCGCGGGCGCACGTGCTGGTATTTAATTATATAACAAAAGGCAGGTCTGTTCCGGGGGCTCCTGGGAGCGCTGGCGATGCGGTGCGCGCCGCAGCTCGTTTCAAAGCACTTTGATGAATTTATTCAGGAGGTGCCGGCTCCTTGCGAGCCGCCTCGGAGGCCGGTGCCGGCGCGGAGCCCTCGGCGTCGCCGTCGCCTGCCTCCGGCTCCAGCCTAAAACAGCCCCTGGGCTCCTGCAGCTGCTTTGCAGGAGGGCAGGACGCTGCAAGAGCCCGGCTGGGCGCGTGGAATGACCTGGCCAAACGGTACCGCGGCAGCGACGCGGGAGCTGCGCTGCCCTCCGCCTCCCTCGCGCTCCCCGTTCGGCTCCCGTTCGTTGTTGCTGCTGCTTGGAAAGGAGCAGGTTCCTTCCAACCGCTCTCGTACTCCTTGAGGCAGAGGTCAAGGCCTCACCCTGCTGCTCTCCTTTTGAAACGCGCTCAGTGCGCGGGGCTGCAGCTTCTGCTGGAGCGTTAAGAGCAGCTGTGCAAGCTTTGCTCTTGCTCCTTCTTCTGCCTTCTCCTCTGCAACCTGTTGGCCCAGCAGACAGCAGGGACCTGTACATTATTTATCTATACTGCAGTAACTCAGCGCTTCCGCTCTTTGTACGCAGCCCCGAAGAACAGAGTAGGATGGAAAATAAGGATTCGCTTTATGTCCAGTTTACAGCTGGAAAAGAAGGACACAGGGACTTCCCAAGGACACCCAGGGATGCTGCTAGGGCTGGTTTTAGGGCCCTGCCCTCAGCTTCTGGCCTCGTGCTGCTGGTGAGCTCCCATGGCCACGTTCTCCTTCCCGGCCCAGCGGGGCGGGAATGTCCCTGATCCGCTGCGGAGAGCTCGGGAAGGGCTTTGAACGGG